ATTCCCCCCACAGGGGAAAGGGATGGCAGGCAGCAGGGGGTCGGCTTGGCCCCCTCCAGCCGGGACAGGCCCAGGCGAAGACGCAGTGGGGAGGAATGGTGCACGCAGAGACAAGGGCTCCTGGAGACCAGGGCGGCAGTGGGAGAGACTGTGAAGGCCAAAGGGTCTGAGGTGGTTTTGCTCCCTGCTTTTCTGTCCCTCTTTGTCTCTTTCCCCCTTTCTTTCTACTCTTTCCTGATCCCCAGAGTGAGCTCTGTATTCTCTGCCTGGGACTGGGCAAGAGGTAGGATTCATTGGAACACAGCTTCCTCCATGATGTTCTAGAAACTTCCAGGGCAGCAGGTGAAGAGGTGGCCTTTGTGGAAGAAACAGCAAGGCTGCCTCACTTTTTTTGGAAGGCTCAGAAGAAAAGTCTTAGGGCCTTTGTGAGCTGTGAATGCTGGGTCTCCAGTGCCGTCCAGCCGGTTCTGACTCAGGGTGACCCGACGTGTGTCTGAGCAGAACCCCTCTCTAAAGGGTTCTCAGCAGCTCTGGCTTTCCTGAAACAGACTGCCAGGCCTTTTTCCACAGCACCAGCTGGGTGGATTCGAACTGCCAACCTTTTGGTCAGTAGCCGAGTGAAAGCCGTTTGTGTCCCCTGGGGACCTTCAGCCTGGATGAGGTTGTGTAATGGCAGTACAAGAGGTGAAGAGGGCTGGGGGACAAGGCTGGCCTACAGTGGAGGCAGGTGACAAGGACAGGCCCTGACACCTTAGCCTTCTCTGCTGATCATGCATGAGGACCCCACCGTCCAAGGCCAATCCCAACAGGAAGAGAGGTTTCGAGCAAGCTCAGAGGGCCCTGCAGGCCGAGCGTCAGCTCACCAGCACAGGGTGGGCGGGAGGTGGTTTATGTGGAGGGGTGTCCTCTCAGAGGAGGACAGGAGTGATGGTGACATCATCACCAGACAGAGTGGCTCTATCTGAACTCCCTGGTGCCGAATCCGCCCGTGGTCTCTGTGAGCATGTGGCTGAGGTAAGAATTTGCTCGTTCCTTTTAAGCACAATAGCTATCGGGGGTCACAGACGACTGTTCAAAATTGGATTAAGAAGGCTGGAAAAGTAAGAAACCATTTATCTTTAGAAAGCACGCATTTGATAGAAAAGAGAGTGAGCTCTGTGTCCCAGAGGGGGGTTTTTCTTCTCAAACTGGACACGCTTCTGCTTTTCTCTGCTTCAGGGGGCGGTTGGTGGGGTGGGGTGGGGTGGATGGGAATGAAACCCTGAAGCAGTGTCTTCAGTTCAGACAAAGTGCTGGAGTGGGGAAGAGCCGGGCCTGCTTTCATCCCAGGGCCCCCAGGACTCCTTTCAGGGGGGCTGCGGAATGAAGGGCAGCGACAGGCGTCGGGAGGCAGACTGCTACTTTTTAAGATGAGGAAATGAATGTATCTTGCTCTCCCGGCGTTTATTGGCAATAAATCACATTAATAACCACCTAGGTGATGCAGCTTGGTCACCTGTTTGCTTGTTTCCTTATTTTGGCTGCTGCTCACCCACAGTTGCCCCTTTTCTTGCCCAGAAGGTCAGCCTCCTGGTGCCAAACACCTGTCAGAGGATAGCCCTCCGTGCACACGAGCGGCCTGTGAGAGGGACACATGAGAGGCCACTTTCCCTCTGACCAGCAGAATCCTCCAGGCATTTAAGTGCTGTTGGTGTGGCCTGCTTTTTCTGAGGCAGAAGCTTCCAGAAGCAGATAGGGAAACCCAGCAACACCACAGTCCCCGCCTGTACCTCACACCCAGGCCCACAAAGGGCCTCCTCATGTGGGCCTCAGTCTCTTCAGGTGGAGGGAAGCAGCCTCCGGACAGCACAAAGGCTGAAGCACCAGTTGGCTGCAGGATCTTGTCCTCAGAATCACTAGTTTTCAACAAGACGAAGAGAAGAGAAGAGAAGAGAAGAGAAGAGAAGAGAAGAGGAGAGGAGAGGAGAGGAGAGGAGAGGAGAATTAGATGATAGATAGATAGATAGATAGATAGATAGATAGATAGATAGATATAGAAAAAGAGACTGAGAGAGAAAGGGTGGCAGAGGGTGAACTTCACTTTTCTGAGTTCTGGTTCAAAGACCCACAGGTTCAAATTCAGCTGACAAGAGTCCAGGGGTCTCCCTTGCACCCTGTAAAGCCAAACTTCCGGTGGCCCAGCTCCCAGGCTGGTAATCCGTCCCCACCCCCAACCCTGTTCTTTTGGCAAGATTTGCTTCCAAGAGGAGAGAATGGCTCAATTTTGTTTTCCTGGTTGGCCAAGGCTGGGCAGCCTCAGAAACGCTCCCGGTGCCTCCTGGCAGGTGCTAGAGCCCCGAGGGGTAAAACACTCTCTGTGGGGTCAAGTCACCCTCAGCTTCTGTCACAGGCCCCTCTCCAGTCTCAGCCAGCGCGATGCCATGTAGGGATCAGGGAGGATTGGGTTTGGCTTCAGTTCACTGTCTGTGATCTTCGGGGGCAGCTGAGCCCCAGGTTTGAGGCCACAGCCACCCTGGGAAGAGGCCGGCGTGAGAAAGGGTGGGCGGCTCACACTCACACGGGGGTGGTCCTCCGGTTCAGCATGCTGATGTGGAAGCCTTCCTTCAGGTCCTGCTGCAGAAAGTCGTGCACCTGCAGGAAGTTGGCCTCCTGGTCGGGGCTGTAGCTGGCCGCCGTGGTCACCTTGAGGGGCTCCCTGGTCAGCGTGTACATGGACAGCTCGCCCATGGGGATGGCCCCCGCGATCTTCAGGCCCACGGGCGAGGCGTCCCTGGAGGGCGAGGCCTCGGTGGAGCGTGAGCTGGACCTCGAGCGCCTTCGCCTGTAGCGGTAACTGGGCATCCGGGCGTAGGGCGAGGACGAGGAGGCCTTGAGGAACTCCCGTTTGGTCTTAAACCTCAGCTCCTTATTTTTCTCAATGTAAATGTTCACCGCCAGGACGCCCACCGTCTCGGCCACAATGAAAGACAGGGCTCCAAAGTAGAAGGACCAGCCGTAGTTGTAGTGGTTTTTCTTGTCTTCGTCTCTCTTGTCACTTGGGTCGCCTGTGTTACTGGAAATGTAGACAATGATGCCGATGATGTTACTGAGGCCTGGGGTGGGGGCGGGGAAAGGAGAAAGGCACAGGTTAGAGCTGCAGAGGTCAAGGCCCACTGATGAAGTAGAGAGGTTAGATCTGCAGCTGGAGGAAGAGGGGTTGGAGGGTAGACCCACCCCTGGGGGCAGAGGGACAAACCGCAGTCCCTGCACTGGGGGGCCGAGAGGGCCACAAGTTAGAGTCATTGCTGGGGGAAGAGGAACAGAGGTGAGAGACCCACTGCTGGGTTAGAGCCTTAGGTCAGACCAACCTCTGGGAACAGAGAGGCAGAGGTTAGACCCACAGCTGGACCCAACTGATGGGGGCAGGAGGTCGAGGAGTAGCCGTGGCCTTCCTCTCCCAGATAATTATTTCTTTATTCTGGTTTTTAGTTTTCCTTTCAATGAATGAATTCTGACTGAGTTACCATAGAGCAAAATTCAAGTGACATAGCTAACACAATCTCCTGGTCCCTGGTCCCTCCCTGCAGGTGGCCACGGCTCCCGTTCCATTTAATACCCTCTCTCCCCCTCCCACCCTCTCTTTCCCCCTTCCTCCCTCCCTCCTTCCCCCCCCCCATACATGTAAACACATTTTTCTCTGGGTTTCGTTACACGATGCTCCTTAGTCCCTCACTCTTTCCCCGCGCTGCACCCCTGAGAGATGGTTGTGTGTCCTGGATCGGGACGTGAAGAGCCACCTCTCTCTGTCTGATCGCACATGCCTCCCACCATCCACTACTCATGGAATCACATCCTCCTTAACAACCTACCCTAGTGCTTACCAAGGTGGCCTGGTGAAGTGGTTAAGTACGCAGCAGCTAACTGAATGGAGGGTGGCTTGAACTCCCCACCTCTGAGGGAGGAAGATGTGACCGTCTGATTTGATTTACAGCCCCCTTTTGTCTTGCAAGGCCCTTATAAACCAGAACTGACTTGATGGCAAAGGGGAGCCCCTCACTCTGTGAACATGGTCCAATTTGGAAAAAGGGTCTTTAAAGATAGAAGTCGGTGTGAGGCCATCCTTGGGGTGAGTGATCTTAAACTGTCATGACTACGTCCTCACCAGAGGAATGGCGGAAGAATGGCCTGGACTCTGTGACACTGGGCAGGTCACCTGTGGCCTGGCACCCAGCACCCAGGAGAGGCTGGGTTAACAGGTGGGGTGGAATTCTTCTTTCCCTCCCTGAGAAAACACAAACTCCAGGACAGCATTCACGTGTCACGGCAGGACTTTCTCACCCTAGGTTCACGCCATGAGCTACCTAGCTCATTAGAGGGGATGGGCTGTGGGGAGACAGGAGAGAGGATGGGATGTGTCCTTAGCCACTGAGCTCTGCTCTGGGCTGAAGTGAAGGGACAGAGAGAAAGAGGAGGCGGTGGCGGTGGGGACCTGCTCAGGGGGCAGTTCCTGCTTCTTCACAGGAGACCAGGAGCAGGGGCTGCTGGTGACATGAGCCCAGGCTCCTTCCCACACGCAGCACACACGTACACACACCCCTCTTCGGACACACGCAGCACACATACCTCTCCTCAGACACACTCAGCACACACGTACACACATCTCTCCTCAGACACACACAGCACACACACCTCCTCTCAGACACACGCAGTACACACCCCTCCTCAGACACACGCAGCACACACATACACACACCCCTCCTCAGACACACAGCACACACGTACACACGTACACACACCACTCCTCAGACACATGCAGCACACACCCACAGACCCCTCTTCAGATACACACAGCACACACGTACACCCCCCCTCCTCAGACACACGCAGCACACACCTCTCCTCAACCACAGGCAGCACACACATACACACACCTCTCCTCAGACACACGCAGCACACATGTACACACAATGTTCCTCAGACACACGCAGCACACACGTACACACACCTCTCCTCACACACACAGCACACACGTACACACAGTGTTCCTCAGACACATACAGTACATACCACTCCATAGACACTCTCCCCACGTACATATACAGCACTCCTCAGACACTGTGTGTGTGTGACTAATGTCACATATTTCTGTGTCATTTGTATATTGTGTGTGCATCTGAGGAGAAGGGGTGTGTACCTGTCTTGTGTTTGTATCTGAAAAGTGTTACGTGTATCCATGTGGTCTGTATGTCTGAAGGTCAGGGTACATACTACATATATACACACATGCCACTTCTCATACACACACCCTGCAATCTACACACACCACTCCTCAAACACACTACACATATACACACATACCACGCCTCAGACAGGTACCCACACCTGCACACACACACCCCACTCCTCAGATAGACACACAACACAGGCATACATAAAGCACTCCTCAGATGCACGGCTTTCTCCACATATGCACAAACATACCACATTACACACACACACACACACACACACACACACACACACACACCCCACACACATCCCCCCCACACCCCTTGAGCACATATTGTGAGGGAGGGAAAAAAACCCAACAAAAACTTGAAAGTGGGAACAGAGAAAGAACAAAACTTGGGACCAAGAGTCAGACTCCCTGACTCAGAATAAATTTTTTTTCTGCCTGTCCAATTTCTTTGAATTTTACTTCTATGATGTGAACAAAGGTCATCTCCTTCTCTATGAGACTCTAAGAGAACGAGATGGGACAGTGACAGTGTGATTCATAGAAGCTTTCACGGGCCAGTCTCCATGCAAGGCCCCTCCCTCATCCTCAGCAAAGGAGGAACAGGCCCCGCCATGACTGGTGTCATTGCTCCTACAGGTACTGTCCCACCACTGGAGGATGAGCAGGCCCACGTGTCTGAGGTCATGTGTCTGGCCAGAGGGGAGCAAGGCCTGGGCTGGTGTGCAGACCAGCCTCCTCAGGACGGTACTGGCCACCACAAAAGACAAAAAGAGACCTTGGAAGCAAAACCTGTTAGGATGGGACGTGAACTGCAATAAGAGCTGAGGAAATAACTGCTGAGCTTTTGGATACTTTTCACACTTATTTCCTGGAAAGGGGCCTAAGAAGCAAGAGTCCCTGTTGTACTTTGATCTAAAGGCCGTTCATGCTGCTGGAAACTTCAGCATGTTTCTTGCTGAGACTTCTGAAGTTAGAGAAGAACTTTACTTCAGCCAAAGCTCGGTGCTGCATCAGACTATGTACTGGCCGGCCCCTCAACAGCTGTGAGCCCCTGACTGGCCTAGATTTTCCCTGAGTCTACAACCGTAAGGTACCCAATTCATTCGTCTCTGCGGACAAAGAATGAATAATCAGGCCTGCAGGGCAGGTCCCTGCGTAGCATAAAGAGTTAGTACTCAACTAGTAACCAAAAGGTTGGTGGTTTGACTCCACCAGTCACGGCCTAGGAAACTTTATGGGACAGTTCTAACTCCGTCACACAGGGTTGCCAAGAGTCAGAAATAAATCAGCAGCAAAGAATTTGGCTTTTGTTCCTGAAGACATGTGATGTTTTCAAGAGGAGCCACAGTGGCACAGTGCTTGCGTGCTATCCTGCTAACCGCAAGGCTGGAAGTTCAAAGCTGTCCAGAGGAAGATGTGGCAGCCAGCTTTGGCAAGGATCACAGCCTGGGAAAACCTGTGAGGCAGTTCCCCTCTGTCCTGCGGGTCACTGTGAGCTCGGGCAGACTCAACGCCACAGCGATTTGGTTTTGATTTTGACTTTTAGTGACTCCAGTACAAGGACTGTGTCTGGAACTGGGAACGTCTGTCCTGCACCGTCTTGGCCTGCCTTTACTGGGCCACACCTCTGAGTGTAGACCTCACGTGGCCCAGTCCCTCAGCACTTCGCTGACTCCCCCACTCCATCAGACTCTGCTGTTAGGGGGTGAGGAGCACCTAATGCTCCTTGAGGCACTGGGCACTCCTGGATGCTTCAACTTCACTGAAACCATCTAGCGGCTGTGGATCAGCCCTGACTTACAGTGACTACTCATGTGTCAGTGGAGTCATGCTCCATGGGCTTTGTGGTGGTGTCATCTTTTTGTTTTTTTTTAAATACATTTTGGGGAGACTCACACTATACACACACACACACACACACACACACACATATACATATATATACACACATATATGTATGTATGTATGTATATGTATGTATATATATACATATATACACATATACATACATATATATGAAAAATACATGAAAAAAAGTCATAAACCATCTCAGTAATCTCTCTATATAAAATTGAGTGGCATTGATCCACTGTTTACACTCTTTAAGTTGTGCAAACATTCTTACAACCTTCTCCAAACAGTCCCACGCATCACTGACTTGAACTCACTGCTCTCCAAGGTTCTCACCTTTCATGTTGTTCTTGTCAATTTGTTCTCACAGAAAATTCTTTAAAAGAGCATAATGCTCAAGACAGATATACTTTATTAAGAAAAACTTTCTTTCTTGATAAAAAGAAGATCCAGGGCTCGCTAGCTCTGGTTTAAAATGTAAAGATTAACTTGGGGCAGTAGTTTCAGGGGTTCATCTAGCCTCCCTGGCTCAGGCAGGTCTGAATTCTCGGATACTCTGAAATTCTGTTCTGCGTTCTCCCCACCTTTTGACCAGGGTCCTGCTATACAACAATGATTAAAGGTTCTATGGGGTTTTCAGGCTGATTTTTTTTTAGAGTGGATTATGGACTCCACTTTGTCTCGGCGGACTCAAACCTCCAACCTTTGGGTGAGTAGTTAAAGGTGCTAACCAGTCGTACTTTCTAGAGACTCCTCGAGCTAATTACGCATGGTGGTCTTACAGGGATGTGTGTTCTGGCTTTGGGGACCACACAGACAGCACACTGCCCCGTGTCTCCAGTTTGGACACCCAGAGGGGACAGCCAGAGCGAGCAGGCTCACCTGCAACCACAAAGAGGATGCCGGCACTGAGGACGATGTTGTTCTTGCGGCTGTAGATTCTCCCCGCACCGATGCAGAGGCCCCCGAGCAGGAGGAGGATGGTGCTGAGGATGGGGAAGACGCTGGAGGCGCGCACGATGCCTGGGTCGGACAAGAGACAGAGACAAAGGACAGTGAGGCCAACTGCCCACCTGGGCCAGGAAGGGCCATCCTCTGGAGCCTGCAGCTCATGGCCCTTCCCTTGGATTTTAAACTTCCCATGAGGACCCAAAGATAGTTGGAGGGGTAGGATCTGGTGATGGGGTAGAAAAAGCCGGAGGCCAGGCAAGTGGCTTTCAGGCCTGCCGTTTTCCAAGGGGAGGAGCCACGTCGGCCCATAACTGTCTACATCTTTGCACATTTCTCTTAGGCTCCTCTTGGGTGTGGGCTGTCCTTCCATGCCAGGAGGGAGGAGAGAACCCCATGAGCACCAGTGAGGCCATATGACAGACATGAGAATCCTGGACTGTATCACATTCACACAAGCCCTTTTGTGGGCACAGTCCCCGTGAAGCTTCTGGAAGCTGGCAAGGGGTATTCTCGAGAGGAAGTCCCAATCAGTGGTTGTGAGCACAGACTTTGGCATCAGATGATTCTGGATGTGGGTCCCTTTTCCATCACGTGCTGGCTATGTTACCTTATTCACGGCACATCACCTCTCTATGACTGGGTTTCCTCATCTGAGAAATGGGTTCATAAGGGTACCTTGGGTCCATTGGTAGCTACTTCTCACATTCGGGTTTATATATATAAGACAGTTAGCACAGGGCTTGGCCATAGGTACAGGCTTCTTAAGTGACCACCTTCTGCGGCATCAGTATTACCATCATCTCTTTATCTTGGGGCAGATGGGGAGACAGCTGAGCAGAGTGGGATACCCGTTAACCAAGGAGTCCAACAGACCTAGATTTACACCCTAGTTCTGCCATTTGCCAGGTGAGTGATCTGGAACAGGTAACTCCCAGTACCACCTTGCTTCTTGTATAACCTGGGGATATTAAGTAGGGGGTTGAATGACATGTTCTCAAAATATATGTGCAAGTCTTAACCCTGGTATCGTACTTGGAAGAAGGGTCTTGGGAGATGCAGTCAAGAAGTGACCCACCAGATGAACCCCAAACTCGATGGTAAGTGTCCTTAGAAGAGAAAAGCAGAGGAAGCCTCAAGACAGGCAGAAGAGGAAATAACACAGATGAAAGAGGAGAAGGTGATGTGTGTGAGGACAGAGTCCGAGATCAGAGTGATGCTACCACCAGCTAAGGAATGCCAGAATCCTCCACGAGCTGGGAGATGAGGGGAGATTGACCCCTGGAGTTTCTGGAGGGTCCCTGCTGGTCCCTATTTCCAGATTTCTAGCCTTCACAGCTGTGAGAGAATCAATTTCTGTTGCTTCACGTCACCAAGTGTGTTGTGATTTATTATGACCCCTTGTTTCTAGCTGCCATCAAGGCAGCTCAACTCATGATGGACGTCTTAGTTGTCACAGTTTAGGAGGCGAGATGTTAGAATTCCAGGCGTGAAACAGAGTGAAAGGCTTTCTCTTTGTGTGTCACCTAGTTCTAGGAGGTTCTCAGTGGAGGGACCCCAGGCCCAAAGGAAGTATTTTGCTCCCAGCTATTCTTTCTTAGTGGTACTGAGGTCCCTATTTCTCTGTTTGCCTCCCTCTCCTTTTATCTCTTGTAAGACAAGAGGTCTTGCATGCCACACTCCAGGGAAACTCCTCTTCCATTGATCAGGCCTATAACCTGAATAAGGGAGCTGCATCCTATCCTAACCGCCTTACCACCAATCAACTGCTGATAGTAGAGGCTTAAGGTATGTGAGTTCCCCTTCCTTTAGCATCTGGGGTTGGGAAGGAGGGTTGGAGGGAAAGAAAAGGGACATGAGAGAAAGCCAGAGCTTGGCTTCCTCCACATGCCTGTGGTCACCTGATCCTGTCCCCTAACCTCCAGGGACATGCAAGGACCCCAGACAGGGACTGAGAGTTGGGTGAGCCAGCAGGCGCCAACGCCCTCAGGCAGCTGAGCTGAGCTGGTTTGGGGTCTTTCAGCCTCTGAAGGCAGTGTTTGTCTCTTTTTAGCCAGCGTCCCAGTGTGTGCCCCTTGCTTCACAGAAAGGAGATTGTTCGGGGCATTAAATGAAGCTCTTCTCTCCAATCCCTCCTCCTCCTTGAGGGATGAAGTTGCCTGTGTGTGTCTGAATGAGCCTGGGCTGTGCTACCCAGAAAAGCCAGGTCAGATGCCTTGATGCTCTTTTCTGCAGACAGGAGGGAGGCACCAGCCCCACAGGGCACAGTCCAGAGAGTCTGATTCTTCTAAGGTCACTGAGGACCTGGCCTGGCTCAGTGCCTCCACACGACCCAGGCAGCCATGAGAGCACCTCTCCCTTCCCACAAGGATTCTTTTTTGTGTTCCAGATATGCAAATGCTGGCTGGGGTAGTCATGGACAACGGGCACTGCACAGAGCACACAGCTAGAGAATCAGTAGGTGCTGCCATCAAGCCTATGTCCTGCCCCTGAATCAGGCCCTGGTGAGGGCCTGTGTCTGCCTGAAGGACAGGCAACTCCTTCTAAGTCTCTTGGAGACATCCCATGGACTCACAGTAGCTCCAACATCAGCCCCTGTAGAAACATAATCCAACGGCCTGTAGTGTAGAGGATGGAAAGAGCACCAGGCTCAGGTATGGTGGATGAAACCTCTTGGGAAGAGACAGCAAGCAGGATTTGAGGCAATGATCCTTTGAGTCCTGAGCCTCACAAGGACCTGTCCCGTTTGGACATGGACTTTCAAGTCAGCAGGAACCTTGGCAAAAGGCCCTGCTATGAGTATAACATAACTCAGGCCTAAAAGTCTCTGGAAGGCTCCAGCATGCAGAGCTGTGAGGTTGATTTCATTCACAAGTTGTGAGGATATGGGACACACAGCCTGGGACCTGTGGGTCTTTATTCCATGCCCAGGCACAGAATCATGGAAACTTCTGGTCCCTTTTCTGACACACCTGCTCTCCAGGAGAGCATTTGTCCCCCTAGAATATGTGTCTACTTGGTTAGGTCATGATTCTCAGTATTGTGCTCCACTTGTGATCAGACGTAATCACCTTCCAACTTGTGATGTAATGTAAACCTCTACTTGTGGTTAATGAGGCAGGATTAAACTAGTTTAGCCCACTTAGTTACAGAGTCGATGCTGCAGGACAGAGTCAAACTGCTCCTATGGTTTCCGTGCCTGTAAATCTTTATGGAAGCAGATTTTCACCTCATCTTTTCCCTACAGAACAGCTGGTGGGTTTGAACCATTGATCTTTCAGTTACCAGCTGAATGCCCTAACCATAGTACTCAACTCCTGGAGGCAGGACTAGGTCATATTCAAGAGCCTATGTTATGAGTCAGGATTGGGCTGTAACATCCTTACTTAAGTAACTATACTCAGGTCATAGTCTTGATCTGATGTAAGTGCGGTGGGGAAAGGGCTGGGGCATCACCTTTTATCTGATAAGGGATAGGAAGAGAGAAACACACAGAGGGAGGGACCTGACAGAGAATAGCCAGGAGGGAAGTGTGTCTTTTGGATTTGGGGTCCTTGTGCTGAGAACCTGCAAGACCCAGGGGAAGACAGAAGTCAAGACACAGATAGATTCTCACAGAATGCCAGGTTCATAGGTATTGAAAGGACACAAGGATATTTTTCCAAATCTGACAGACAGAGCGTACACCTTCCCCTAGAGCTGGTTCCTGAATTAAGACTCCCCGACTCGTTAGTTGTGAGAAAACAGATTTGTTAAAGCCATTCAGTTGCGGCTTTTCTGTTACAGCAGGACTAGATAGCTAAGATAGTTTCTTTGTTCACATGTATATCCCAAGTGCCTTTTATCTTTGGGGCTTGGTCTACAGTACATTTTTGATGACATGTCCAAAGTATGTGGATGAAGCAAAGTAAGGGAACAATTCTGATTTTTCAGCACAGCAAAGATTCTGCTTCTAGATGTGGCTTGCATCTGTCTCTTTCCTAACCTCACAGCCTCTTCCTATAGAACAATAACCTCTTTTCAAATTCATAATCTCTGACAGATTTATTTGTGCTTACAGATTAGTAAGTAAATACACACAAATAAATCTGTGCTAACCTTGCTTACAAAAAGAGCTCAGAGAATGCAGCCTTCAATAGGGATTCTATCGGAACATCAAGAAAAGAAAAATCCTAACAACTGGACCAATTGGCAACAACACGATAGATGGAATAAAGATTGAAGTTGTCAGTGATTTTATTTTACTTAGATCCACACTTAACACCCATGGTAGCAGCAGGCAAGAAATCAAAAGATGAGTTGTGTTGGGGAAATCTGCTTTCAAAGGCCTCTTTAAAGGGCTACAAAGCAAGGACGTCAGTTTAAAAATGTACTTGATCCAAGCTGGGGCATTTTTTATCGCTTTATATGCATGTGAAAGTTGGATAATGAAGAAAGGAGATTCAAGAAGATATGCCTTTGAATTGCGGGGTTGACGAAAAGTATTGAATATACATGGACTGTTAGAAGAATAAATAAATCTGTCATGAAGGAAGTATAATCAGGGGACTCCTTCAAGGCAAGGAACTTGAGGTTCCATACTTTGGGATAGGAAGAGCCAGTCTTTAGAAATGGATATCATGATGGGAAAGATGGAGGGGGGCAGCAAATTACCCTCAATTAGAGTGATTAACAATGGGCCTGAGCATGGCGGTGAGAATGGTACAGGATAAGCCAAGGTTTGGATCTGTTGTTCATAGAAATAACAATGAGTCGTAATGGACTTGATGACACCTAATAGCAACCACCTTGCTGCGTTGGGTAACCTGTTCCAGGTATGAAGTGTATTAACCAGGACTTGAACCTGGGTCTCCTTCCTGGTAAGCAAGAATTCTACCAGTGAATCACCAATACCAGAGGATTCACCAACACCACTGACCACAAACTCTGGGAGTTCAAATGGAAAATGGAGAGGAATTGCCCCCAAGGGTCCAGGGATTTCTTCCTCACAGACCCAGAGCTGGTCATGAAGCAAATCTCTAGAACTTGACCAATCCCCTGATGTTTGGGAAAGGAAAGGGAAGATTCCAAGCGAGGATTACTTTTCCGTTGAGATCTCTCATCGTGCTGCTCACCAACACAGATACCTTTGAAGGCCAAGCGTGCCAACCTGAATGCTTCACTCATGCACTAGTCTAAGCTAGCGGAATTCCTTGTGTTGTGCAGTGTGTATAACCTGCACAACCATTTGTGACAGCTCTGGTTCTCAGTGGGCCCCCAGGAAGCAGAAAGAGGAGGAGGGGAAGGGAAGGGAGGTGAAGGGCCGTGAGAGGAGGCAGTGTTCTGGCCAAGTGATTGCAGGTTCTCTGCCTGGTGGACCTGCCTGATAAAGGTTCCATGAGAACCTCATGCTGTTTCGAGATGACTCAGAATCAGAAGCCTTTCTCTTAGAATAACTGATCCATGCGCAGATGCAGAGTGATTGTGCCCCCTCCGAGGGCGCTGGTATCGATTCTCCACAAATGAAGCCAAGCTCATGCCCTGGGGTGCTGCAGTGAGCCGCTCGGCAGGTGTCCTGGCTAATGCGGAAGGAGAATGACTCCGAAATGCCACTGTTTTTTCCGTTTCCAGGCTCAGCTCCAAATGCAGCTCCATCTCCCCATCCCCCACCAGGAGAGGGAAGTAGATTCAAGGCATCCGGGCTGGGTCTCAGGACACACTGGGCTGGGCTGGGTCTCAGG